GCAAACCATCAGCACTGTGATTGCCAAACCGTCTGAGAGAGATGCAAAGAGCTGCAGGAGTAGAGGGCTGAGAGCTCCTCACTTGGGACTGGCAATGCCTGGTGAGGAAACAAGGTCAACCAGGCCCTGGAATTCAAATTAAAGCAGCCCAGATGACTCAGAAGTCTTTATTCATCCATATCTGCAAAAGGAGGAAAATAAAACTGCACCTACCTCATAGTGTGGTCTATAAGGATAAATACACGTACAGCATCTAGCATGAGTAGGCACTATAAAAAGTTTTAGCTATTGTCATGGGTAGGGGATCAAGCACACATGCATTAGAGAGCAAAAGGAAAAAAAAGTAGATGCTTCTAGAGCTGACCTTGCATCAAGCCCCTCAGGAGGACCAATATCTAAAGTCAAAAGAAGCAAGAATTGGGCCGGGGTTGAATTCAGCTCAGTGGCACTGCTCCTGCCTCGCAAGCGCATGGTCATGAGTTTGATCCCCAGTACCAAAAAAAAAAAAAAGAAAGAAAGAATATTATTTATTTTTCTTTCACAACAACGCGACTTTGGTGGAGCAATGCGATCTTGGCAATTAACATCAGGGACAGGAACTCCGCTAGCAAGTCCTCAGCTTTAGCTGGAAATGAAAAGTACAGGAACCCACAGCAGGACAGGCTTCTGAGAGGCACCCATAGTGAGCAGGGTCCCCAACACACAACTGGGGAGTAGGGAGCTGGAACAGCACGAGTGCTCAGTAAAGCATTTCATGTCTTTTAATTTAAATGTCTTCGCTGTAAACTGTGAATGATGGTATCTATTGCTGAGGATTAAATGACATGAGACATAACGTGTGTATGCTTGGCCCAATGCCTTGGTACCTTATAGGTGTTTGATAAAGATTGTTTTTCTAGCCAGGACACTGAGGTGCTTGCCTGGGACTGGCTGGCTTCTAACTTAGTAAAGATGAGACCCCTCAAATCAGGCACTGGCAAAAAGAAAACAAGGAGAGGGAGGGAAAGAGCCCCACCAAAGACTGAAATGTAGTTTTCCTCCTGCTGCGAGGGGCCCTACACTCAGTAAATGAGAATGACCCTAGCTGAACTTGCAAGCTTGAAAGCATGGTTGGTTTTTAAAAGAGTTCTTTTTCCAGATCAATTGTTCAACAGAATTGAAAAGCTGGCCCTTGGAGAGGCTCGGTCCTAAAACCTGCAGGGTGAACATAAAAGCAGGGGTGAATGTACTGTTTCCCACAGGGAGCAGGACCACTGTTCCCTGGTGTTTGGCCGAGGCTGCTCGGCTACTCGCTGCCACTGTCTCCATCCCAGACCAGCCAGAAACCCAAGAAGCTGGAAGCTGAGCTCCGGCTCACATTATTTAAATGAACTGCTGTTACTTGGAGCCTTAAACCACATGTCTTTTGACTGTGGGGCCGCTTGGGCCAAGAGGCTTTAATACAGACGGTTCTCAGCTCCCAAACGGACTGGGCTCCAAACGTACATTTGGAGGCTGTGGATTGAAAGGCAGAATGCTTTTCCCCAGAGAAGGAAGGCTGTAAATGGTACTTAGGGACACCGACCAGCTCACAAGCAGCCATGTGACCATAACATGGCCAAAACCCAAACACTTTGGCTACAAAAAAAAAAAAAGGAGTAGAAATCGATCCTGTTACAATACCAATAATTAAAGAATGAGATAAGTGATAAAGTTGAGTGCCTTTCATTTATTCTTAAGCAAAAGCACATTTAATTAAAGCCAGATGGGAAGGTCTATCCCCAGGCTAAGGGGCCAGGGAAAACGGACTGGGACTGCAGACCCAAGGGCTGGGTCTGCCCCTGTCTTCCACAGAGGGGTTGGAGAGGCGGGAAGTGGAGGGTTGGGGAGAACCCAAGGGGTTTGCCTGATATCGCCAGCGTCACCAAGGTGCGCACTCAGCTCGCGGCCCCATCTTCTCGAATGATTCGGCTCATAAACGGCAGTTCCAGTCCCAGCTGCAGGAATCACTGGAGTCCGGAACTGGTGGTGCCTTTCGGGGATGAGACAAGCTCTTGGGTACTTGCACTGCCGGGACCGGTTTGCCTGGGACACCTCCGCCCCACTGAGGCAGATCTGCCGCCATCCCCTGCTCAGGAGAGGCCTCGCGCTGTCAGGACCCTCCCTTCGCCTCCCTGCTCCACAGGTAACCAGCCCTGCACCGGTGGACACATTCTGAATTACCTATTGTATCTGCCCGCTAAGGTTAAATGCACATTTTGCTGTCAATATGAAAACGACATGAGAAAAGAGGGAAGGGATAAACTGAGAGAGGAGAGAGAGAGAAAAAAAAAACCTTGGTAAAGCAATACAGTAGAATTTGGAGTTTGGCAAAAGTCTAATTATCTGGATATCATTAGCCCAGTGCAGGTCAGTTGGTCCCAGAAGGCCCAAGAGAGGGAGAGCTAGCGAGGGGTCGGAGTGTGGGCACAGGACTGAAGGGGTCCACGTGAATAAGTGGCTCAGCCCCGACACGCGCCCTGTGACCAGAGCACCCTAGAGCGAATCACAGATATGTGAATGCAGCTACAGACTCCCTTTGGATTACAAGTCTCGTGTTCTTTCTTTCTTAAATTTTTTTGATTTTTCTTAGTATATCTGCTATACATAATGATTACATTCACTGTAGGGGATTGCTATATGTCCATAACACTTTTCAATTCCTTTTTTTACTTTTTATTTTATTTATTTATTTTTGGTACTAGGGATTGAACTCGGGACCTTGCGTTTGCAAGGCAGGCACCAGAATCACTACGCTAAATCCCCAGCCCTCAATTCCTTTTTTTAAATGTTATTTCTTCAAATTGATTCATGACCCTTGCTTATTTTGTACTTATTTTATTTTCACAGTGCTAGGGATCAAACCCAGGGCCTTGTGACTTATACTTTTAAAAATTAAGTTCTAGCAGTTCTATTTGTTGTGAGTACTAACCCTTTGTCAGTTAGATGTGTATGCATATGTTCTCCTGGTTCATAGTGCTCTGGCTTTCTCTTCCCTTCCCTCCCCCCACCCCCTGACTGGGGAATGAACTCAGGACCTCTGAGCTGACCTACATCCCCAGTCCTTTTATTATTTTTAAATTTGAAACAGAGTCCTCCTAAGTTGCTAAGTGTCCCACACTGTCTTGGCTTTCCAGAGTTCTGAGATTACAGGTGTACAGCACCACACCCAGCTTTCCTCTTTTGGGGGGGGCGGGGGGGGTACCAGGGATCGAATTCAGGACCTTAAACTTGCGAAGCAGGCAAGGCAGCAGCACCACTGAGCTAAATCCCTGGCCCTTTTCCTCTCTTTTTAATGGTAACTTTCTCTTGTAAAAATTTTTTCAATTGTAATCTAGACTAAGTTATTTTTTCCTTTGTGATTTATTGAGTATTATTTGTTGTTGAGTAGCCTTTTGTCTCATAAAACTTATTTCCCTTAAATGCACATGTCCATATGGGTCTTTCTGCTCTGTTCCATGGATCTGTTGTTCATTCCTGCACCAACCATGCTTAACTTGGCTACTACTAGGCTCCACTCCTTAAAAGTTACATCTCCCCAACATGACCACACTGATGACCAAGTTCCAGCACAAGAACTGTGGGGAACATACTCAACCCATATTCAATCTGTAGCACTTTCACTTGGTAAATTATTATAGAAACAGTGCCAGATTCACTGGGAAATGTGTTATTGGTTCTGATTATCTGAATTTGGTCACCAAAAGATCCAGGTATAAGAGAAGGAAAGATTAGAGCAAATTCATTATTACTGATTAGGGATAGACCTTTTGAGTTTTATTCTGATATAATCTGTTGGACTGAAACCAGGAAGATGTCTACCTTTGTGTTTACGTGTGTCTTCAGCAAGTATGTGGACCTTCATGGTCAATCAGCCATGGAAAAGAATGTCAGACGAAGCTAGAACTTCTACAGTGATAATGGGCCAACATTTATAGGACAAGAAATTCCCATTTTAATGTGGAGTATTTCACTTTATTTCATTTTATCTGATTATTTATTGGGTTAACTTGGCCGAATCCAGATGAATTTGAGGCCATCCTGGGGAGGATAAAAACAATAGAATTTTTGAAGGCTGGCCAAAAGCTAAGCAGCAATGCCACATACCCAAATTAACTCATTATCTTTGTCCCTAAAATCTGTCACTCTTTCAATATGCATCATTCTAGGGTGGCAGAACCCAGTGCCCAAAGCTGAGCTGCACGGGCCACACGTCCGGGCATCATTGCTGAAGACCAGTCAAGTCTCACGTATTCTACCACCTGAGGGTCCCAACTACACCCTTATCTCTTCATCTCTCCATCCACGGCCACATCACCAAGGCCATTGTCATCTTCAATGGAACGGCGACAATAGCTTTCTGACTGGTCTCTCAAACAGGTCTCAAGAGTCACCATCACGGCCACCTTCCCCACCCTGAGAGCCCAGAGGCAAGCCTAGTAATGTCATTTCTTTGCTTAAACTCCGCGTGGCTTCCCACATTCCCCTGAGGCCACCCCACAAACTGTTTAATATGATTCACTTAGACCTTCATTATCTGGCCCCTTCTGAACTTCGCCATCTGTCCAGGAGCTGGAGAAAGCTGAAGGGGGAGGGCCAGAGGGCCCGGGCACCCACGAGACAGGGGACGGAAGAGGTAACATTGCTCAGCATCCGTGCAGCCACGCAACTCGGTCTTCTCACAGACGCTCCTGAGGAAGGGTTGGGGACTTCTCCCTCCCTCCCTCCCTGTCTGCTCCTCGCCCCCTCCCCTTTCTCTCCCTTCCACTTCTCACTCCCTGGACTCCCCACATCTCCCTCCTGGACCCCGCTCCAGCCCAGCCGCCGGCGGATCCGTTGCCGACCCCGGCGGCAGAGCGGTGCAACCCGCGGAGCAGCCACTCGCCCTCTGCCCAGAAGAGGCGCGGAGGGGCGGTGCCAGCTCCCGCCTCGGCCCCGCCCACGGCCCGGTCCACGCTGGCCTCCGCACCCGCTGCCAGAGCGAGGGAGCCCGAGCCCCGCGAGCATGGCGCCCCCGCAGCGCGAGCAGGTACGACGAGGCGGCCGGCAAAAGCGCCAGGGTCCCGCGGCTCCGGCCCGGGCGCAGGACAGCGGTGCGGGCCGCCCTGGAGGGAGGCCGGCCGGAAAGCGCGACTTCGGCCGGCGCCTCGGGGTGCTGACCCCGCCCTTCCTCCGGCTCCCCCGACCCGACCCCTTCCCCACCCCTCTCCGTCCTCTCTCCCGCCCTTCCAGGACGGCGCCATCCTTTCCCGCCCTCCACACTGGCAGCCTCCCCCCCTCCTTGGCACCGGGGCCCAGGCCAGGCTGAAGGCCGCGGGCATCGAAGCGGGGAGGGCACGGTGGCCCCGCAGCTCTGGGCCTCCGCGCGCAAACTCCGGAGTCCGGAGAGGCGGGCGCGGGCCTGCCCCAGGGTGTCCCTGGGCTGCCCATCCCTGCTTAGCCTGAGCGCCAGCTCCGGATGCTGGGATGCTGGAGCCCGGAGAGCCCGACTGGCCTGCCCTGGGGGTGAGTGCCATCCAGCCTCTCTGTAGTCTGCGTTCACGGGCAGTCCAGAGGCCCAGACGGGGCCCAGGCTGGGCGTGAGGGACGGGTGAATAGGATATAATCAGAGGCGGGCCTCTCCTCGGAGCTCCTGTTCTTGCAACAGGGCAAAATCACGCAGAGAGGGGAGACTTGAGTGCCTCAAAGCAGGTTCGGGCAGAGTGGTAGGATTTCCAGGAAGCAGGAGATTTCTCCTGGCTGGGGCCTGGGCAGAGAGTGACATTTGAGCGGGGACTTGGGAGAATGGTGAGGATCTGGCCCTGTGGTGGTGAGGAGGAATTAGAACTCCAGATGGATGAGTAGAAGTACCACACTGCTAGGAAATGAAAAAAAATTGGTGGGGGGCTGTGCCCGTGGGGAAGGACAGAAAGGGGGCTTCCATAATGATGGCAAAATAAGGGAAGGGCTAGGCTGTGGAGGGCCTTGCGGACCAAACTGTGCTCAGGGGCTTTCCTTTCTAGAATGGGGGAACCTATAGGGAAATCAATGGCTTTCATGCAAGTTTTAAACCCCTGTGATCCAAAGGGGGACATAAATTGAATACTCCGCATTTCAGGGGAGCCAGAGTACACAGTAGCATTGTGGGGGGCTGTGACTCCCCTAGGTTCTTGGTAGCCCAAGCAAAGAATTGAGCAGGACCTACAGAACCAGAAGTGAAAGCAGAGATCAAAGCTGACTGCGCTGCTCAGGGTGGGAGCAGGCTGGTGAGAAGAGCTCATGGCCCCAAAGGAACAGGTGTTGGAGTTTCTGTGTGGCTTTTCCGAGGAGGGAGTAGCTCCTGGAACTGACGTGGTGATTCCTTCCAGTCAGAGGCAAGTCTCTTTTCTGCTGGAAGGAGGAATTTTTGTCCTTACATGGACCTTGGAGGAACTGTCATGTTGCCTGAAGCCGATGAAGGGGTTGAAAGCCACAGTGCAAGTGATATTATAATTAATTATAATTCAGTGGGGTCACTTTCATTGTTTAGGATATTCTATAGCACACGGGTTCCCAGGCTAGGCCAGCCATTCAAAGGTGGGTGCACTTCATGGTTTTAGAGAGATTATCTTAGGCCTCCTAGAATCCCATAGTGCATTGCACCCTCATCTTTACCATCAGAAGCCTGTCAAAATCAGGCACTCCAGTTCTTGGAGAGCTAGCTTCCTCTTTACCCTCTGTCCTTCAAGCAATGCCCCCACCCCAGGGCCTGTTCTCTCTACCTCTTGCCTCATTGGGGTCACCTTTGCTGCAAATAGTTCCTCTTCCTTAAGGCTATTGTGTTACATAGTCAGCTTTCTGTTGCTATGAGAGAATACTTGACATAACTTAAAAGAGGAAAGGTTAATTTGGCTCACTGTTTCAGAGGATTCAGTCCATGGTGAGCTGCAACTCATACAACTTCTTGACGTGGAGCACCAGCCCTCAGCACACCTTCCTCGGCAGATGCCATCTTCTTCCTTATCTTCTTCCCCAGCTCATGTCCTTAGGTCTGTTGGGCCAATTACACCTCAGAGACAGTTGAGAGGTCTCAAAGTGGGAGTGCAAGAGAGATTGCAGGTTTGGGAGTTCCCTCATCTTGTCTGAAGCCAGCTTCCTAAGCCTCTGAATTCTCCCAAGAGGAAAACAAATCACTTTTCCCCAAACTGCCCCCTGCCTTCGGAGACATGATACCCTTCCCTTTGCAGCCTTGCACTGGTTGGCCCTTAAGAGAAAAAGGCACAAATTGATAAGAAAGAGTGTATTTGCACAGATGAGAGTTGCAACTCAAGAGACACAAATTGCAGGCAGTCTGAAATGTGTTCTGGGATCTTACAGATTTCAAACAAGTTTTAAAGGCAGAAAAAAATAATCACAAATGGGGACAGGGATTACGTGAGTTATCTTTCAGGAATTTAGACCGGTGTAGGCAGGATAGCAAGCTGACTTGGAGGGGGACTGGGTGATTTATAAAGAATATCTGTAGGGCTGGGGGTGCAGCTCAGTGAGAAGCCCTTACCTAGGGTGCCTGCTGTCTGGCAGCGCTATCGGGGTGCCTGAATGAATGGGAGAGGAGTAGCCCCTGAGGCTTCCTGCAGGATGTGGGGGTCTAGGGGTGGGGCAGAAAGGAAGTGACTCTGGAATGAAGGAAATGTGTCGCTGGATGGGAAGGTTCTGTGTGACTAGAGAAGAGGATATGGGGGAACACAGGTCCTTGTGAGCCACGTTGATGACTAGGATTTCAAGCAGGAAGATCAGAGTGATCATCTGTTTTTCGTGGGATCACCCTTTCTGTGTGAGGGAGGAAAAAGCCAAGGCAAGGCCCGAAAGGAGGGGGACATCCAGCCTGTCTGTCCCTCTCTGCCCCTGGGCCCCCAGGAGGCCCTTCCTCACCACCATTGCTGGAGAGTGGCAACCCCTTCCCACGCTGAGTATTTTCAGTCACACACTGTTCATCTTTCCATAGAATTCACTAAGTCAAGCAGCTGTTTTGTCGGTTTGTTTATTGTCTGTCATTTCCTCTAGAACACAGGCTCATTTCTTGAAGACGTTGCCTGTCCTTGTTACCACTGAATGCCACTTCTTAAACCAGTACCTAGCACACGGGAAGCATGCTGAGTAAATGATTGAGTGAATGAGTGAGAAGTGGGTGAGTGAAGGCCAGAAAGGATGGAAAGAAGTGGAGATTTGTGAGAGATCGTACTTAGAGGTAGGATCAACGAGAGGGTAACGGTGAGAGGTACAGGTTAGGGTCAAGACCAGTGCCCAGGTCTCTGCTTTAAATGGCTCGGTAGATGTGGATTTGTGTGTGTGTGTGTGTGCGCCAGGGATTGAACTCGGGTCCTTGTGCTTGTGAAACAGGCAGCGAAATCACTGAGCTAAATCCCCAGCCCTAGATGTGGATATTGAGTGAGGCAGGAGACATGGAAGTGGGAGCACTTTGAAGAAATGACCGTGCACAGTAGCAGGGGGTGGGTTCACATATGGGAGGGACAGCCACATAGAGATCTGTAAGAAGAATGTAGAAGAACCTGGAGCTCAAGAATGAGCTTTGGCCAGCTTAAATAAAGAGGCGAGCAGGGCTGTCAGTGGAAGATTGCAAGTAGGAGCCCAGCCTGGGCAACTTAATGACTTAGCAAAAATTCTCAAAGTTTAAAACAATTTTTAAAGGCAGAGGTAGGACTGGGTGATGTAGTTCAGTGCAAAGGCCTTGGGTTCAATCCCCACTACTGTGAAAAAGGAAAAGGAAGAGACAAGAGGTAGATGCAAATGATGCTGTGAAGAAGGTAGGAGGGAAGGGACTTGGTGCCCTCTGATCACGCAGAGAGAGGCAGCAAAGCAGGCAGGATAAAATTACTTTTGAACTGTTCTTTGTGGATGGCATTGTTCTTATGAACATATTCAATATAGAGGAATGTAAAAAAGAAAACAGCCCAAAATGCATCACTTCCTGTGGAGCGTTCCTGGTGACCGTGCTTCTGAGCATGTAACTGTATTTCCATAAGCGCACTTGGGCTACGCACCAAGGTTTCAAAAGCTGCTGTTTACTTAACGATATGTCATAGAAATTTCTGTGTCGATAAATACTGATCTATCATATTATTGAAAAGGCCTTGTGATTTCTTTTACATAGATGTACAAAAAGATAGGCCTTTTTCATCCATTATGCTGGTGAGTGCTTCATTTAAAAAACAAGAATCTTTCGGTCCTTGGAAATTTTCTTGTAGTATAATTTCTTTTTAATGTCTTGCCATTTTCTATCACTGGTTCTAGAATTCTTTTTTTTTGGATGTGAGACCTCATGCCCAGCTTCTCTAATAGTTTGATCTTTTCTCTCCCATTTTCTGTGTACCCAGGTTATTTGTTTGTTCCATTTCATTGAGACAGAGTCTCACTAAGTTACCCAGGCTGGTCCTGAACTCGGCATTCTCCTGCCTCAGCTTTCCAGCATAGTTAGGATTAGAGGCATGCACCACGACTCTAGACAGTTAGAATTTTTAAAAATCATTCTCAGTCCTCAGTTTATCTTTAGTCCTTCCATTAGATTTTTCTGTCCTGCTTTTCTATTTTTATTTTTTGGTACCGGAGCTCGAACTCAGGACCTTGAGCTTACAAGGCAGGTGGCAGCACCACTGAGCTAGATCCCCAGCCCCTTAAATTTTTATTTTTCTTATTACATGTTTGCAGTACGTTATGATTACATCCATCATAGGGAGTTGGTATTTGTACACAACACGTTTCAATTCCTTCTACCTCCATTCCCCTCCACTTTCTCCCCTCCCTCCCAGCTCACTCGGTCTCTTGGCCTTTCCCACTCGCACAAGCTCTAGCTCCCCGTTTCCTGTCATCCATCCTTTATGTTGCTCTTTATTTATACTTTGGGCTTCTCATATGAGAGAAACAATGTGATAGTGAAGCTTGTGTGTCTGGTTTATTTCACTAAACATTAGAGTCTTGATGTTCATTTTCCTACAGATGACTCAAGTTTATCCTTCTTTATGCCAGAGTAGTACTCCATTGTGGATAAATATC